GCCGATGATTTTGCATTATCTTGTCTTTTACACCATTTATGATAGGTAATGTGGGGTTTTAGACTCCTTTTGTTATTGATGATTTGTGATATATGCATCACAATGCTCACATCAGCGGAAGATGGACTAACTCTTTCAATTGATCCACAAGTCCAAGCCTTAGAAAAGAAGACCAAAACAGCAGCAGATTTGTGATGTCTTTTTGAATGGGATCCAGGTGTTATTTCGTCAACATGTTTTCTGGAGATACGACCGTCTATCTCTTAGTTTTCCAGCGGTACATGAATTGCATCAATCTGATGTAGGAAACTCAAGATACATCCATTTTAGCGAAGACAACACATACAAAAATTCCTATATAGGATTAATATGAGATTTTATAAATATTACGAATTTTCAAAAATTTTATTGATTATTTGTAATATAATTTAATATATGATGATGCATTATCTTTTAGGATTAGATTTATTATTTTAGGAGTTAAGGTGCAAGTCAAACATTATTTTATCTTTAGTATATTGTTATTTTATTCATTAGATACTTAGCATAGAACTTCTCACCCTATATAAAGGATGCTTCATTCACCATTGTAATGCCATCTTTTCTTGAATATAATACAATGAGAGTTCGTTTTTGCAAATGTTGATCGCCTTGTGCCTTCGAAACATTCTTCATCATTAAGTTCTTTCAAGTTCTTAGTGAATGAGATCTTCACACTATGGTTTGCTTTTTTATTACAATTAGGAGGATTGGTTAGAGTCGATTATTGAGTTTCTCTAGTCAATTTTGGTTAGGAGGGTTCGTAAGGCATATATCCTTCATCCTTATCATCATCATCATTCCACGATAACTACATCACCATATTCATCTTATCGCTAAAGCTTATACATACTCGGGAGACTTTTCCATTCAAGTTCTTTCATTGTTTTATCTATCTTTTAATAATTCTTTTTACATACCATTATATATTATCCATTATATTTTAATCATCATCTTCTTGTTTGATTTCCAGAAACTTCATCTTCAAGAACCCTAAGTTACATCAAAATCCTAATTCATCTTCCATCTCGTTCGTTGATTGAGTCTAGATCCCTAGGCTTGATTCTTCGACTTCGAGCAATGTTCATCACTCCAATTCCATCTCCTATCAATTGGTATCAGATTTAGATCGATTCTTGGAGAGAATCAAGCAATTTTACTTGTTATTGCGCGCATAAACTGCCAAGGTACCCAACAGAGCTAGTTCGCAACGATTGATCATTTTCAGGTTCTTTTTGCAATTTTTAAAAAAAAAATTCAATTCATTCTTGTTAGTTTGCTACTTTAAATTTGTTTGGTAGATTTAGGGTTCTTTGTTGAAAATTTTCCAAAAAAATCTACTGAAAGAATTTTGATTTTAAATTTTGCAGGCATATTCCCCTTCAAATGTGTTGCTCAAGAAAAATTGAAAAAATTAAGGTTCTTCGTTCAAGAATTTCTACAAGATACTACTGAAGGTAGTTTAGGCTAAAAATTTAGAGTGGAATTATAAACTCAAAGACTGACTTCTTTTGATTCTCCCTTCTTTGTTCCTTTACATCATCTCACACATTCATGTTCTTGTGCTAATAGGATTAAAAGAGTTTGCATACTTCTTCTTGCTTGCATTCTAGTTCAATTGGAATCTTAGCTTTCTTTGACTTCTTAGAGCTACTAAGTTGTTTTTTCATATTTTTTGGAGATTGACACAAACATTGTGAGACTTCTTGGTAAGAGAATTTTAAAGAATACAAGATCAACTTACTTGCCTCTCGGTGTATTATTTCCTTGGAGTGATTTGCGAGATTTCTTGTTTTCTTTTATTTTCTTTTTCACTTTACATGTTTTCTTGAGTGTTGTGTTTCTCAGGATGTTTCTTACTACACAAAGAGTGGAACCACTATTCACAATTCTACCCTTCAAATGAGACTATGATCCAGACGCCTACATTGATTGGGAAACCAAAGTTGACCTATTTTTCTCTTAGTACAATTACCCTCCGAAAGAACAAGTACCTTTAATAGCCTTGAAATTCAGAGACTATGCATTAACATGGTAGATACAAGTCCAGTATAGAGTACATCGAATCAATTTCAGGGATGATCTGAGATGAGAGAACTATTTGTTCCAAGTTTTTACACTCAGAAAAATAAACAAATATTTCGAAGACTACAACAAGGTAGAAGATCTGTGGAGGAATATTTCCAATATATGGAGTCTTTAATACGACGAGAAAATATTTATATGAGCAAATATGTCATTTAAACTAACTTCATGTTAGGCCTCAATCCAAACATCATTGATGAACTTAATCGACAAAGCTACACAAACCTTACAGATACATTACAAAAAGCCATCGCAATTGAAAACCAAAAAATGGAAAAAGAAAAATAATCGGAGATTCAACCAGAAAGGAAATAAGACAATCCAGGAGCCAAATTAATGGTTGCAATTGTTGACCTTGAACGAAAAAGACTATCTCTGCTGAACTACTCAAAGGTACTTCGTTCCCTTCTATTGCTTATCCTTCACCTAAACATTCTGTCGTGATAAAAGGAATCGAGGGATATCGAGAGAGAAAAACCTATAATGGCTAAAAGTGATATGGTTGAAAACCCTAGAAAATATTGAGCAAGAGATATCCATTATCTTACATACAAAGGATACATCCATACTAGTCACGAATGTCCCAATTTACTTTACGATGATACCTCTTCATCGGAAACGGAATATTCTGACCCTAAAGAGAATGTTGCCACGAATAATGAATCAGACATTGACATCGATGAATACGATGCTAGCGACATTGTAATAAAAGATATCATTCTTCAGTCCTTGGAAACAAAAGATGCACTTGAAAATCAAGTGATGACACTTTGTGAGGGTGGAAAAACAAAAAAAAACAAGGAAAATATGAAAAAGAGACAAAAGCAAAAGAGGTCACTAGTCATAAAAGCCAAAAGAATCATGACTCGCATGTGGTGAGTGATTCTATTTGTGAGAGGAAAAAACGAGTGACTCAAAACATAGATGTGAGCACAAAAGTATTGAGAGCAAACCTACTTCACAAAAACCCTTACATTCTTGTTCGCCTTAGTAAATCACTTGTTTCAATTTTTGATAATAACACTAGCTTGCCTAGTATGTTTATTTCTCTCTTATAGGATTTCTGAGAAGTGTTAGGTGACCCACCTGACGGATTATTACCAAAAATAGGGAAAGAACACCAAACCGATCTAGTTCAAGGGTTCTTCATACCTAGTCAGACAAATAATCCCGAAGCGACCAAAGAGTTAGATTTGCAGGACCGTTATTTTGATGTGGTGACAAATCTAGTTGGTATGATTGTCGTTGTTCTTGGTGATAAATTTAACTAGTGGATTGACCTTGTTGTTGCTATCGTCCTTGCACTTTATACTATTACAAATTGGTCTGGAACAATATTAGAAAATGCATGTTCATCTATTGCTTCTATTTCTCGAGTCTTTCATAGATACATTAACAGAGAAAATTGATCGTCATTTCATAGGAACTCACTGATGAGTGATATTTGATCGAATATTTGATACTAGTAGTTCCTTGTGGTTCTCATTTCATTCAGTTGATTTATGCAACAATTTATTATCCGGACTTACTTCTGTTCATGTAGTTTCCTTGGTTGGACAATATGCTCTTCCTGAAGTATTGTAGAAACTTACATATCTTGTCTTAAGGCACCATCCTCAGATCAAAAGAGTCGATATTGTCCGTGCCAATACGTTTGGCTTTCTTTGAGGTCTGTTTATTTGAATGCTTACAAAACTCTTTTTGTTTTTGCGTATCTGGTGCAATCTTCTAAGAAAATTTGCTAACTGAACTGACACCTGAATTAAAGTAACAGACAAATCTAATGGTTAGTTGTTCAACTCTCAGAAGACTTGCCGTTGAAGGAAGCCCATGCTATAGGGGAATCACTGCAGATAAAGATCGGAGAACTCCCAGAAGTAGGAAGAGTCTTTGTTCAACTCAATTTCGAATGTGAGCACAAGCCTGAGCACTCTATTCTAATCAGAATCCCAAGCACTCAGCCTTAAGACTTCCATTTCATGTTTTTCCATAAGCTGTCATCTTCCATTGTAACATCAACTAACTTGATGAACAAGTAAACCCAACTACAGTAATTTGCAACATTAGTGCTGAGAGATGTATAAATTAGGAATTAAATGATTTCAGTCACAAAGAATCTGAATGGAGTCATAAAAGAGTTTTAGCTTTTGAAAATGAATCAAACTTTTTTAACAAATAGTAGCGTATGGAATTCAATTCAATGGCATATCCCATAAATATATGAGATATTAAGGGTGTTTTTACTTCATTGAAATTACTAAGGGTGTATTCATCTCACTGAAAATATTAGTTCTTCAATTAAATTTTATGTATCTTTTAATAACATTTTAGGTAAGAATCGTCTCTCTAGAACTACCCCTTACGAACTAATTGTTCAATAGTTCAAGCTTGAAGTCACCCTCCCAATCCAGTCAAAAGCTTTTCGTTTTTATGAGTCGAGTTTTGCTTACCCATGAACTTTGCATCTATGGTCCAGATCCAGGATGAACAACGTGTAGAATTATGTACTAAAGTGGAGCTGCACCATGTTCCTTATAATCTGAACAGGGCTGTTGTTTAATACACTTTTTCTTCTAATAAGGGTCGGCAAGAAATGAAATTAAAAGTCACATCCGCAGGCTTCAAATATGACATGCAAGTTCAATTACTTATAGTTCAATAAGTCAAATATAAACGAGGGACTTAATATGCTAATATTCAATCTAACCACAAATCAAACGACTTCGGTAGTAAATGGTAGTAAATGAATCGTTATTCTTCGGGTTCGAGCATCATGAATACCAGGGGTATGAACGTTCAATGTCAAATGGTTGAGGGTTATCTTTGAACATATACTTCTTTTATTAACCCCAGATTAATCATAATAATAATAATAATAATAATAATAATAATAATCAATCTTAATCAAAACCATTCAAGAAACTGAAATGAAATGACCAAAACAATGCCAATATCACAAAATATCAAGCTACCAAAGCTTCATTAACCCATGGAAAATCTCTCACTGAAAGCCCTCAAACATCACATGACACTCTTCCCAACATTTTTCTTCTTCTTTCTCTACATTGAATTGAAAAAATGACTCAAATTGGGTAAACAATATACTAAGAAACTATAAGGTAACTCGGATTTTAGATTATCGTATACCCAGTTATAAAGTAGTCTCAAATATCCGAAGATAGGGACTGAACCACTATATCAGAAGAAGGAAAACCTGATCCCATTACTCGCTGCAAACAAATTGTACTGTTCAACAGTAGACTTCTTTTTATTGCAACCATGACCATTTTCGACACAATCTGCTGAAAACTGGGAAAGTTCTTCCACAATCTCATCTTTCAGAGCCACAGGCCCACCAAAATGGAACAAGGAAAAGCTAGTGTCATCCGTGTGTGATTTGGAACAGACATCATTTTGCTTACCTTCTCCATTTGCTGCTGCTTCTGTTGCATGCAGCCTGCCAGGAACAACCCTCTCCGCATTCAATTCAGTGAAAGCTTTGTTTTCTGTACCAGACTTGGAAATCTGGGTTTGCTCCTCTGCGTACAAGCCATTGGCCTCCAAAACTGGCTGATAAACTGGAACATGACCAGGGTTAAACGGTGGGGCAGCTAAATGCTGCAGAGTGCCATATTGCATGCATAAATGTGAGTTTCTGTTTAGACCATAGCCAAGAGGGCCGGTATAAAGATACGGGTTTGGAGGAGCGAAAGGCACTAAACCATTCGATGGAGTTGCTGGCCAAGAAACAGGATTCTGATGGTAGAAACTCATGGTTGAAGGAGCTTGGTACACTGGAAATTGTGTATGTTGGTTTTTCACTGATGCAAACATGCCTTGACGCTGAGAACCCATAAAGGCAGTTGGTTTTCCGTTATCAGAATTTTCTGAAGGTTTCTTTGGCAGATTTCCTGGATCTTTGTTCTCTGTACCATCTAGTGGATGTCCAAACAATGACTGGCTTTCCAGAGTAACCCCTCTATTGACTTCCTGCTTTTTATCCATTCCTTTCACCTGAAACTCAGAGAAGCCACTTTTAATGCAGATTGAAGTGTCTCTCCTATCTGATTGTTGACATGCATCTTCAGAATCTGATGTTGATGAAGATTCCAAATTTCCATGATGTGAAGTGGAGGTATTGCTATCTCCTTCACTAAGGCATGAAGAGCACTTATCAGAATTAGAAGTGCTACAAATCATAGAATGAGGAATTGCATTAAGGGTAGGGTTTCTATTAGGACAAATTCCAACTTCCTCATATCCAGCATTCAGTGAAGAACATTGATCCTGTGTTTCCACATAACAGTCATTATTTGTTGCAAGGTTGGTGTTTCTTAATCTGTTAACCTTGCTATGCTCATGGCCAATTTCGCCCAAATTTACACTAGCTTCACTCGAACATGCCTTACTGGATGAATTAGCAAAGTTATCATTTGGCCCATCTCCTTCTTTGTAAGTAGATGTCCTCAAAGTAATAACTGTGTCAGAGTTGCTCCGGGGGTAAATTTTATGTGATTCAATGGGCTCCCAAACTTTCTTGGAGTGAAGTGAATCTCGACTAGTAAGATTGTTTCTGGAAACAATTTTATGTTTCAGATTTCCACAATCTTCACGCCTGTGAACTTGTTGATTATACTTGTTACCACTATTGACTTGCTTGGACATAGCCAATTTAGATTCTGTCTTCCTCACAGACTTGGGCTCTCGACTAACTCTAGTTTCAGAAACATGTGGCTCAGTCTTGGCTCTGTATTCATTGTGCTGGACGCAGCTGCAGGAGTAGAAGTCATATCTATCACTCCAACCATTGGAACACCGAAACTTCTCAGAATACTTAACACTACCATTCCGACCATTGGACTTTGCATTGCTTATCCTTGATTGCCTATTTAATCCACCGAAGTTCCTCGAAGAAGCCTCAAAGTTTTCACGTTGATGCCGTGGCTCAGATCTATTAACAGGAGCACTTTCTGAAACAACAGCAAACCGGCAACGATCGGACCATTTCATGGACGGATCAAGCTGACCATCCTTGTGAAATTTCAATCTCCGACGAGAGAATTTTAATTGTTCCATTATAAAAGAGCCATTTCCATCTTTTACCTTTGTACCATCTCCATCAGGACTATCAAAAGAGTGATTCTGCAAACTTGAATTGGAATTCCCATCAAGAAACCGGTCTCCTTGAACATCTGGAGAAGCAGGTCTAGACACTATAATATCACCTGTGTCACTCACAGAGCCTCTGCAAGTAATAGCAATATTTTCTTCAACCTCAACAGCTAGTGAAGAATCTTCCTTCGCAATATCAGAAGAAACAGGGGTTATACTCTCAGCACATTTTTTCTCTCTCTCTCTTTCTTTTCCTTTCAGTCTCTCCTTTCTCCTAAGCTTTTTCTCCCGTTCTTTTGTTCTTTTCCTCTCCTTGCGTTCTTCTTCTTCACGTTTTTCCCTCTCTTCTTCCTCAAGAAGCTTCATCTGTATAAACCATGCGGTGACAATAATATTTATCAAAAAAGAACACAGAGAATCCTATATTTACTGATAAGAATAAAGGAATGTCTATCTTGAAGAATCATCAATTGCTCAGACCTGCTTTTCCAAAGTAATAATTTCCTTGCATGCAACATAAACACGTTCTTCCAACAGCTTAACAGCAAGACTAACAAAGATACTATGTGCATTCTGGCGTGCTGTTCCTTCCCTAAAAGCCTTTTCAACCTGAATATCAAAACGGATCACTTACTTTTAAGTTTGTAACAAGAATTTTAGTAATAATGAGAACACAAACAACTGACACAGATTGGCGTGTATGTTTTCCGTGCCACAACTCCAGACACAATCCACTAGAACCACTAACCAAAGCCCAAATTTATTCTTACCAAGGAAATAGTTTGACAGTCTAAAAAATAAATAAATAAATAAATAACAGGGTGGCACTAGTCTCCAACAAGCATAACTTGATGGGGCAAGTTAGCAAGGTTGCCCGGGTACTTATCTCAAGATATCATTGTTCACAGGACAAAGGCGTTGCATTTCCTCAAGCCAAGTAGTAATAGTATTGTGAACTATGGCAATCATTCTCAAAGTTTAACCAAAGACAATTTTTTCATTTATTATTGGTCCTGCTTCTCTAAACCACCGAGTTCAACAATAAACCGTTTTAAATAGAGATTTCCCTAGAAACAATGGAACAAAACTGGTTAATAACTTGCACATATCAAATTCATTAATATAAACTGATTTCTGTTTTCATCCTAACTATCACATTCTTCTACACACACAGGTTTTAATTATCAATGGAAATGATAGAATCCCACAGCTCTTTTGATGTTTTAATTGTCAATGGAAATGATAGAATCCCACAGCTCTTTTGATGTTTTAATTGTCAATGGAAATGATAGAATCCCACAGCTCTTTTGACGTTTTAATTATCAATACAAATGACAGAATCCCACGGCATTTTTTTTATATGTGAATGATCGAGAAGATTTACTTTAAACACAATAATGGTAAAAAGGTATGAACATGCCTGTTCCTTAAATATAACAGTTGCCGCATCAAGAAGAAACTCTCGAGCAAGTTCAGGACTCTTCGCATGCTTTTGTGGACGTGAGCATTCCCCATCAAGCTCATTTCCATCCTTGTCCATGGAATCATCATCCTGAAAAGATGATTTAAAAGTTCAACGTCACAATAGTCCAGAAACCTTATTTAGAAGCCTCACAAAGTTTGAATTACCTCTTCTTCCTCTGCCTCTTCAGCATGCTCAAAAAAACTTCTAATACTTTCACCCCTAGTTATTGTAACATAACCATCTCCAACTACGAGCCTGCAATGCACACATTGATGACCCTTTAAAGCATGGGCTTTTACAGAAATCTCAGAGCAGCGACCATCCAATTTCCAGGCCCTCAGAGTGATATAACATATAGTCAAGCCATCAAGATCCAAACCATTGACTTGCACACTCCCATTCATGCCAACATTTTCAAATTCCAAGATATCTGATTTTCCTTCCCCAGTTCCAACTGCCCATTCAAAATGGTGGTAAGTTCCAATTGTGTCGGCAAAAGTTTGACTCCAATCGGCCTGGATGGTGTCATCAGATACCTGGGCGAGTAGTAAAGAAAAATATTGCATAAGTCACAGATTTTGAAAATTCTCACAACAAGCTCAATAAATATGACTATATTAGTCAAAGTAAAATATGAGTCATAAATTCTTTATGAAGAGTAGATCAAAAGATCTCATGGTGTGTCAACAATAATCGGTGCACCAAAAGTTTAAATATGAGGATACCTCATATAGAAATGCTGTATCTGCGACACAAAACCAACTAGTGCATCGAGGTTCTCTACGCATGCGTTTTAGTTCCTTCATCTCCTTGAACTCACGGATAACATTTCTCCTGCAATCTCTGCAAAATCTCTTGCTGTCAAACCTGAGCCAAAAATGCAAAAGTGAGATATGATATCTATACAAAACAATAGGGAACAGAAATCTACAGGCATGTTCTGAAGATGGAGCTAACAAAAAATGTGTGATATCTGAATACCGTTTCAGCCGTGGCCCAATACTTATTTATGAAAAACTCTCAAAAGTGCCACAAGAAAGAGAATTTTGCAAAATAACTTGGACAACAGAAAATAAACTCCAGGCCAATGAATATTACCCCCTTCTTTTGAAAATTGTCTTGTGCTTTTGAAATTCGTAAAACATTTTCTAGAACATGAAATGAGAAAAATGGATTAGTTCAGCAATTCATTACTTATTGTATAGAAGCTGAAGGAAAGCAAATATCGATTCCTTGACTGTAGAGATCAATATTTTTTTTATCTATGTACATTTTTCCAAGAAAAGTACGACAGAAGATATTTTAAGCAGCATCATTAAAACAGCATAAAATATCACTTTTTCCTGTAAATAAGTCCATTCTCCACAAAACAAAATATGTAGGCAGCCTTAATGTATTATAATATTGAATCTTTTCTCCTTATCACTAAATAAAACCAAAGGTAATGAGCAGAAGATGTGAAAAAAAGATTCAGCAATTCCCATCCTTTAAATGTCTAATATTCACTGTTCGAAAGATATTGTATCATATTAATGTTTCTAAAAGGATAATACAACTCTCAATATCACTCTAAGGAGCATATGCACCCATCCAAACATTTTTACAGCCTCAATTTGTACCCACTTCTCAACAGACACCTTTTCAACACTATTCTTTGTAACGACGATCATTGGTCAAAAAGTTCTCCAATGGAAGTGTAATGCTTACGATGGACGCAGGATATTATGTTCGAGGGGGCGAACTTATAAAATTTTAAAAGATGGACTAACATATAAATTTTTTTTTTGGGAGGGGGGGCGAGAACAGATTTTCAACAGAAAATATCTAAAATATATAAGAATTTGATATTTTTAGGGGGGCAGTAGGTCCATCCCTCTTATCAACATTTGATAACATCATAAACAACAAATACTAACTGAACAGAACAAGTAAAAATAAGGATCACAAGTATGATAGAAATCAAGTAGAGAAAGCAACATTAAAGAGAGTCCATGGTTGCACAAATTTAGAGGCCTTTTTTCCTTGGGAACTGAACTGATGCAAGCTACTCATTATCCGTTTATAATTCCAGGTTCTAAGATCTTATTGTTTTCATTCTCTAAAAGAATCTTCACTTTTCTTTTGATCTCCTTGAATATTAAACAAAATTTGGCCAAAATCACTCATCCTCATTATCCACTAATTAGTTTCTTTAGGCTTTACTGTCTTCCAAAGGAAGTAGTACTCAGGTGTTTCAGGTGTCTTACTATTTCAAAGCTGCTACAATGGAAAATTCTTAAAGACTGACCTTTCTGGACCTTTGGTTTCATATCATGCTTGGAAGCCAGAAAGAAATCGTTATTTCCAACTGCAACAGGTCAAAACATGCTTCCAGGAGTACTAGTCATTATCAATATATATATTCAAATTGCTAAACTCTGGAGACTGCATCAGGATGTTTAAATATGTTCACAAAATGGCCCTAGAATTACACCATTGTATGCTGCTTCAGTAAAGCTTATGTCATAGCTAAGCCAACTGACAAGAAAGAAAAAAAATCAATACCTAGCTGTTAACCTTTTCAGTTATCTAAAATTCAGGATTAAAATAAGGAGACAATCCAGATAATATCAGGAAATGTCATTTTCCAGTCTGCGGTATGGAGGTTGATTTCCTCAATTCATGGGCCATCACAAGTTTTATTTCAGAATTTCCCATTTAAAAGACTTAACACTCTGATAGCTAGGAAATCAATTAATCCAATATTGAATTTATTTTGCAGGTCTAGTCAAGTGTCGCCAAGGAGAAGAACACGAGATAACTAAACTTTTCAAAAGCACACAAATAAAATTTTCTTGTCTTTAATACCATAAACTACCGCTCTCTTAATCATCATGAAATTCCACCACCACTAGCCTTATATTTCTAGCTCCAAAGATAACTTCTTGATCAATGATTATCAGATCAAATTGTTCAGCAACTGAGCAATATGGCAAATGAAACACATCCAAAGATAAAGGACCTACAAACACACCTGTACATGAGCCTCTCAATGAAATCCTCTTCCTTCATTTTTAAAAGAGATAGACGAGTTTCTTCTCCAAGAGCTGACCAGAAATCCACCAAGGTGTCACAAGAAAGCCTGGCAGTGTGCAAGGCACATGTTTCTCTTGTTCCATGACCTCTTCCATAACTAGCAATTCCTTGGCTAATCCAACCCCTACCTCCCCCACCACAAGCATCAGGATAAAGCAATTCACGCTCCCGTTCTCTTGCACGTGCACTGTCAAACACCTGATTCAATTGGAACATTAATAAGTAGAAGAAAAACAAAAGGATAACCATAGAAAGCAATTTGATAAACACAAACATTTTGGAGACTCTTGAGCGACTTTGAGCACAAATAGCAGTCAAGAAGCGTCAGCAACCCATCACGACTTGTGGTCAAACCTCCCCAAGGATGGACAGATGGATTTTGATTTTCATCTTTTGACCCGTTTGTTATACTCGATCCACCATCACTATTGTATTTTGCGACTCCTGGCCTATTATAATGAAGGCCACCAGCTACTCCCTCCTGCTGCAAGGATTTTCCATACATGACAATCTGTAAAAACCCTTCTAGCAGTAGCCCATTACATCTGGAGCAGTACATATTCTTGCGAGCTTGCTCAAAAAGGGTATGTTTATCAATTCTAAGAAGCTCCTGTCGAGCTTGTAATGGAAGCTCACTCCAGAACTGCAATACAAAAACACGGCTATTTCTGGTGACTAATCAGAAAATTAAATCAACAAATGGATACTAATGAATCACATCTATCATTAAACCGCATAATCACTGACATCGAGATTTTTTGGTACATATGGGAAGTGGAGACAGAATGTGGAGATCCAGTAGGTCTCAAGTTACACAAAGGAGGTAGCTCTACCCTATCCCATAAACCCTGCTTTCCCCCGTACCAAGGACTCAAACATGTCATACTTGGAGTTTCACATTCTAAGCATTTGGATGCCCCCTTGGGTAAAGATAGAACTACCCTATTTGCCGATTGCAAACAAAAACCAATGCTTGAATTTCTAATTCCTCCTCAATCACCTACCAGTACTTGTGATAGCCAGAAAATAGAAACAAGAATAAAAAAACATAGACCCGAACAAAGCTCAACAAAAACTAGAAATAGAAATCTTAAAGAACCAACAGTGATGAAGTTATTTATCAAACTTGTAATTTTTATTTCCTCCATTACTCTATCCAAAACCAGGAATGGCACTAAATGATTGTTTTTGCTCTAAACAAAATTAGGCAACTAATTTCTATCGTCTCTAAGGAAAGGCAGATGTCATAAAACAACAAATACAACATTAAAATAAAATTTGGCACAGAATCAAAATTAACGGGATCTGGTAAAGAATAAAACAAATCCAATTAAATTAAGATCCAATCCAAACTTAAACTACGCATTAGATAAACAAGAAGTCAACAAGAAACACTGATCCAATCCAATTTAAACAATTACATCAGCGAAAATTTCAAGAAAATAATCAAATTGAAGAAAATGAAAATCGAATACCTTCTGAAGTTGGTTGTAGCTAACATCATCGCGATGCTTAGACCAAAACCCGAATGAGGCACTACTATATTGCTCATTTCTTTGCGCTAATCCTGGCATCCTTTGATTTCTTAAACTCTCTTTGATTTACAATTATTTATCAATCTTTCCATCTCCGCCCTTCAATTCCGTGTTGTTTTTACACAACCGATTCAATCAAATTCAACAAATATATATAATAAAACAAAATGCAATGACTCTTGGCTGGTTTTCTTCCTTCTTCCGGATCCAAATCCAATTGAATTTGTGACAGAGATCGAAGAGATAATGGAAAAATTCAAGGGGTGGGTTTTGAGGATTGATGAATATAATCAGATTTGATTCTGCAATTTATTTCTTTATTTATTTAAATTTATAATTTTTTAAAAAAATAAAATGAAATGAAATGAATTGAAAATCAGTGAGAAAAGTATCCGGAGGCTGCTTTGTTTGGCCAAGGGGAAAAGGGAATAACGGTTAAATTGGAAACAGACTCCGTTACATTAAAGTTACAATTTATTATTACTTCTAAGGTTAAAATATCACATGCTATTGTTTTGTTAAGTTATTTGATTATAAAAAATTATAAAAAAATATAAAAAAATCTTCGATTATTGTTTTGTTGACTCTCAATTATTAAAAATTATAAAACAGTCATTCGATTATTTATATTTTTCACACTCATCATTTTTTGTTAAAAAATCAACGGTTGGCTGAGCTGAACGTCAACCTGATAGCTAGGATATGATAAAATCATATTTCAATTATGTCTATTGGCACCGTCGTTGCTTTCAAGTATTAGTTCAATATCATAATGTTTCAAGCACTAACTCGACGATATAACGTAAAAAGAGAGTCGGTCCACAAAATACAACTCAAACTGTTCTAGGATCATATTTTATTATATCTCAGTCAAAATATTATCATTCAGTTCAGGCGACCTCTAATTTTTTAACAAAAATAGATGAGTTTGGAACATATGAATAGTCGGGCGATCATTTTGTAACTTTTAATAATTGGATGACTCAACAAAGCAACATCATATAGTTGGTGGACCATTTTATAATTTTTGATAGTTGATACTCAACAAAGCAACGTCTTATAGTCGAGAGACCCTTTGTGTTCTTTACCCTTATTTTGATTGGAATTATTTTTTATAAATTTTCTAATAATTAACAAAATATATATTTTTCTATCTTTCTTTCATGAAACATACTTGTGATTAGTCTAATATATATTTATTTCTTAAATTATAAAAATAATACCATTCTCAAAATAATAATAATAATTGTGTTTATTGTGATAAGTTACCTATTACAGTAACAAAAAGTATTGATACAAACATGATATTTTTAAAATTAAATTTTAATTGAGGAAAAAAATCAAATTTTAGGACCAATATATGTGAATCTAAATTGCTAGAATCTATTAAAATATTATAACCTCCCATAAAATTTATGCATATAATCGTAATATAGATGTAGACACTCATTTTCGCTCGGAGTTTTTTTAATATCGTATAGTTTTTTAAAAAAAATCGTTTTTGAAACATATATAATATGTAGTTTCCGAAAACATTTTGAAAAGATATATATAATATATAGTTTTTAAAAATATTTTGATAATATGTATAATATATAGTTTTGGAAAATATTTTTGAAAATATATATAATATATAGTTTTGAAAACATTTTGAAAACATATATATACAAATATATAGTTTTAAAAAAAAACATTTTCAAAACATATATATAATATATAGTTTTTAAAAAAATATTTTGAAAATATATATATAATATATGGTTTTTAAAAAACATTTTGAAAATATATATAATATATAGTTTTTGAAATATTTTTGAAAGTATATTATATAGTTTTAAAAACTATTTTTCACAATATATATATTATATGGTTTTGAAAACAATTTTTAAAAACATATAATATATAGTTTTAAAAATGATTTTTTTTTGTTATTATATTAATATAATTTTTTTTATTTTTTTATTTTTTTTATTATAATTATAATTTTTTATTATTTATTATTCCTTTTTTATTTTTGTTTTAGGTCCCAAATGAAGTCCAACAAAGAGCCCAATCGGGTTTGGGCTTGACCCAGCCCAATCCCGAATTAGTGTTTCCACTACTTCAGCCAAGGCGCCGCACATTCAGGGAAGTCAAGAGTCAAGCACGCAAAATGGCCAGCCGGGATCCCTGGGACTAAACCATCCTGGGGTTTTCGGTCAACCCAACCACGAGCAGTCCACAAACGATCCGAAATAACCGGGAACGATCCCGTTGCCATCAGAAATAGCCCCGTCGGGGGCTATATAAATACCACCAAAGGAACGATCAGAGAGGATCAACATAATAGAACTAGAACCAACACGGCAGAGAATATCAAACCAAGAACAACAAAACCCACCAAGGAAAACCATAACCGGAACCACAAGCACAACAACACATCACGAAACAACCAAAGCAAAGCCACACAAAAACAACCCAACCACACACGAAATACCGAAAAAACAAAAAAAATCTGATCTAGACTCGGGAAGGAAACTGCCACCGGAGAAGCTGAGTGCCGCCGTGAAAAGGAAAACCACTGAAAAACCAAAGGTAATCCCTTTGATTTTCCAAGATCTAGCACGATTGATAGGTTGTTAGGACGAGTGGGGCTTGGATTGGGTTGAGGGTTTGGTGATCTACGATTTGGGTAGATTTCTAGGTCACCGATTACCGTCGGCGGCAACCAGAAATAACACCGTACGGTGGCCAATGGTGGTTGGCTTCCCTCCGGCAAGGGAAGTAGAGAGAGGCGAGAGAACTCTCATTTTAGGAAAAATAAAGAAATGAGGATGAAGACTTGTTTTGAGCTGGTTTTGGGGCATTTATACCCCTTTCTAGACTGTGTCATTTTGGGGAGGGTTACTGAGTAATTTATGAGTGGGTAAATCCCATCTGTGGTCCCTGTATGTTGTAACCTTTACATTTTAGTCACTGAAGTTAAGTTTCATTATTTTTAATTTGGATTTCCAATTTTATTATGTTTATATTTTAGTCATTATTTGGTATTTAGGATTAATTATTGTTTAGTCCTCCTAACTTTTTTTACAGCTAATTTTAGCATCCATTTGATCCATAAATTTTGATTTATTTCAACTTGATCCTTTAAACTTTGTTTATTTACTCGTAATTTTAATATGTTTTCTTTTTATTTTCTTTATTATTATTATTTTTGTTTAAACATTGTTTACATATATATGTATATTTTTTTCTTTACACTCCCCTATTTTATTACTTTTAAAAATTAAAATTTTATTTTTTATCTTTTTATTTTTTATTTTATTTTTTTCTTTGATTTATGTAATATTTTCTTATTTTATTTTTTGTTCTTTCTTTTTCCTTTCATTTATTTAATATTTATTTATTATTTCTTATCTAACATTTTTTGACTTTTTAGGGATACTTTCAATTGATCAAAGGTAATTAATTCGAATTGAATTTTTTAATTTTAATTTTCACGATTAAGACAATCGACAAATTAATTGGTATCGAAAGGGCAGTACAAGGGTGCTAATCCTTCCTTGACTATAACCGACTCTCGAATCCGACATATTTCTAGTAAAACACAGATCTGGTAAGATGGTGTCCGATCAACCTAAAATTTGTTTTTAAAATGATCGGTGGCGGCTCTAACACTTTTATTTCAAGTCGAAGCCCAATTTCGGGCCAACCCGAAAGACGGCTGCAATAGCTTGGCGACTCCGCTGGGGACCGGTAAGTGAGTCAGGCTAAAATTAATTTTTCGGTTGTCTTTTTTAAGAGAAAATTATAATTTTAAATTTTAACTTAACTTTTCGATTCTTATTACTTATCTTTGATATTTTTTTCAAATAAATAGTTGTACTGACGTTTTTTCAATGATTTCAGATTTTTGAAACCGTTTTCATCTCTGGCTCTATACCCGAGCTCTGAACCCTTTTTAAGTGGGGGTAAAAACGATACCTTCGAGATAATTTATTCTCCGTACGGGCCTAGCAAGTAACTTTCGGGATTCATATACCTTATGTCTTTGTGTGAATTTATTCACCGCATAGACATAAGGGAATGTATCCTCTCGAGTTTAACTTAGTCCACATATGCTTGTAATGTGCTTAGGACTAAGGGTCTGGCAAGCCCAAGAGGGCACCAGTAATGAGAACTCGGGTACCTTTCTTTAGAACCTAAACCGAGAGAATACAAGGACTTAGAGCCCACCCCAAAATTTCATTTCAAAACCTAGGTTGTCTTTAGTTATTTCCTGCTTTACTTTCTGTTCAAAGCATGTGAACTAGAAAAATATGTGGTTAGGACTTGTTCAAAATTAACATACGGGATAGAGATCATGTTCGAGTAGGAATAATAAGCATGTGGGGTAGATATTATGTGGGGTAGGACTTATTTTCATTATTATTTTAATTTACCTCACTAACTCTTTTCATTTTTGTTCTCTTTCATTTTATTTTCATCATCTACATCATTCAAAAGAGGTGTTGGTCCACAAAAACGTGTTTGTTAAATATAAATAGTTTGCATTAATGGACAAATGGGTTGTAACATAAGAGATGAAAAACACAAGGGATAATCTGCAAGGCAACTATGTGTCATATTCAATTAAGAAAACGTGGTGCCCACAATCAAGTACATCAAAAGTCAACTTTTCAAAAATGAATTGGAAAAGGTTGTAGGGGCAAGACGAGAAAAAAGTTACTGACCTAGAGAGTCCCTTCAAAGACAACAAGAACAAGATGACAAAACGATAACTGAAATTGGAGGCCATTGTTGACGAATTCAAGAAACAGACAAATAAACTTCAGATAACTCCTATCGATGGATGGCTCCAATGGCGTTTCCATTGGGAATAGGTTTAGCGAATGGTGAAAGCTAGAAATACTGTCATTCGAGCAACTCAATACTTGCACGGTTTAGCTAGAGCGGTTCGACAGGGCATTCAACCAGTGACAGATGAAGGTATAATACTAGTCAACTTGTTAGAAGTTGTTCGGGGTCTAGAAGACTTAGTGGTTTTTGTATCTTAAGAAATAACACTTTTGTCCAAATAAATATTATTTATAATAACAGATGTGTTTTTGGATCAATGCCTCGAACATTTCATGTATCAAGCATTTAGACATATTTTGCATTTTGTTATTTTCATTTCTTTACATTCGCATTAACTAACAAAGAATGTCTCATAAAAAAAGAAAACGAACAATGGACATACATCCTCAAGCATTGGACACACCTCATCCACATAACACTCATTCAAAGAAGAAGAATATGGAAGCCAAAATCACTCAACTCGAAGAGAATATGTTGAAATTCCAGAGGGACTTAGAAGATAAGATAAACCAAAACAATCAGAGTACTTTGGATACAATCACAAAGAGCCAAGAGTCCTTGGTCGATTAGATTGTG